ACGAATAAAATTGTCTTATGGGTATGTACTAGGCGGTAATTAAGTCTCTATAATACGGTAACTGGAATATAATTCCAAGAAATGAACACAGTTTTCCAAAACTTTGAATCGTTCGGATTACGAGTTTTGTTCACGCTCCAAATATCACGTTTAAAAGCCACGCTTCGGACGCAATGATAGAATTGTACCAACCATAGTTTATTCCTATAACTAATGGTTAAATACTTATAAAGTAACTACTTACATAACGTCCACTCTCACACGGTAACCAGCTGGAACTATTGCACTGTAATTATAAAGAACAAATGTTACTAATAGCAATACTGTATCAATATAGGGCACTGCACGTGTATTGCGCAGCATTTGATTTTCACATTTAAAATCATTTGCATGTCAATTGAGTAAGGATTGTTCCATAACGCGTTGTTTCCGTGCCCATGATAATTAGCAGGAAATTTAAAATAATTAAAATATGAAAGTGTATCCAATACTCTATGAAAAGTAAATGTTGGATGCCACAACTGAATAGATTTTCACCAAAATTTTTAAACTCACTTTTGTCTATGAAAAACAAATCACAAATATTCTCGTTGAAACTGAAACTAAAAATATGCAAAGAAATTGAAACGTATTGTATTTTAAAATTGTGAGTCGTAAAAGTTTTTCTGTAACCGACGCTCAACAAAATGGTTGTCAGTGTAAATTAATGGCACTCGTAAAGGCTGTGCATAATAGAGATCACACAGCCACACCGTGCGGTGCGCCAGCGCATGGGACACAACGTGATTTATGCATTTCTAATCGCGCATGTGCCATGCCGTTTGTTCAGTTATACAACCAAGTGTGCCTTTGTCAATAATAGTAATGTTACCATGCAATACATATGGAAAACTTTGTGAAACTACATAAATATTTGTATGCTTTACGCTATGTGGCAAGAGCGACCAAGGTTCAATGTCATGAGTCGATATTATGTGCGATATTTTGTAATATTACACCTATCTGTTAGACGTGCTGCTCAGTCCAAGGTCTTATTTATCTTTATGTGCTGTCTTCTAGTATTTATTTGTTAATAAGCTACCAGACTTCCTTTGTCTGTTTGTCTAGACTAGTTTACTGTAGCATTGTATGCGGAATTATTTGCTTCAAATAAATATGCTGGCTTATCAAGAAGTTGTTATAACTGTAATCTGTAAATTTAGAAACATATATCATGAAATTCACATCAACGAACACATTATTTCTCCGTGCGTTTCTGAGTCTATTTGAATGAAACATCGACATCATCGGCATACATTTTATAGTATCTGGCAGGTGGCCCGCCGATCGTGTTTACTACGTGAATCAAACCGATTGTCCCATCCACGTGCTTTTATTATGTTCTCTCAGATCCATACCCTCTGTTTACTATAACATTTTATTTATTATCTCGACTTTGCTCTTCTCAATTCCGTTTCCATTGTACAGTTGTTGAAGGAAAATTCCGATTCTATTTAAAAAAATGTTTTCATGTTCGAGATCGAGTTACTTCGGTTAAATTCAGAACAATTATACTCACACGCACATTGTAAAACATCAAAGCAACACTAAAACAATATGAAGTTTGAATGGTACACCTGCAGCAATTAGTAACTTTACGTGACATGTACTAACGCTACATCTATTTCTGTTACAGGTAAGGCAATGTCTTCTAAACGGGTAACATCTTTTTACAAAAGAAGGTAAGGATCTACGTCAGAGATGGTGATCAATCAAAAGACGTCTACACGATGCTCCAATCCTAAGAAAAGTCGACCAGGCCAATGTACTACTTTCTGTAATCCCTACCGACATATTGTTTCATGTCAAATTTGTCCACACCTTTGTCTGCAAGCTGTTTTTTAAGCAAGTGAACCTGCCCTCTGAGCTAAAGACAAACAGACACGGTCATCCACCCCGGCGAATGGTTACTTAATGTCCAACGATTAGTCATACGGCTCAAAGCAAATATTTTGTTAGTGTTCACCACACGATCGTATCATCGTATGATTCGTCTGAAAACCACAAACAAATGGTCACACTCCAGTTAATAGTTGTGTGTGTAATTATTAACTCAGTAACCGTCACGTCATCGATGCTCTTGTGTCCTCTCAAAGTAAGATCTGAATCAGAATACTTGACCATGACGTCAACATTACTTATGTCATCGTTTACAACTTTATGTGACATCACTTGAACGGGATAGCATTTCGTAGTCATAGACTTCCATATAAAGAGCACAGCGCTCGTCATGTAGAGGGAAGTGTCCCGTTAGAATATAACACACCGAATCAACTCTCAGATCTGAAATAGATTGTTTACGCCATGTCCGGGCACTATGCCAACGGTCACCTGAAGCCGCACTATACAATTTTGGCACATAATTAAATTTTTATTCAACTAGTCTGGCGTTTGAGTCATTTTTGACTGGCGTTTGTTATGCGATTTTCTAAGAAACTTATACGCTGTCTAATTACACCTTAAACATTTTTAATCAAGTAATACGAAGATATGAGGAAAGAAGCTTTAAAAAATAGCAATTCTTTTTTGCCAATGTTGAATATTCGCATATTTTGTATAATTAGCCGACAACAAATAGACGCAATGACAAATAAGCCACGACGTATACCGCCATTGATTTATTACTTTTCAAAAGGTAATTTATCATATATTTACAGATTATAACAACTCATTAATAATGTTAAGAGCTGATGTTTCACAAGTAACCCAAGTTCATGCGTTGGACAATGTGAACGACACGCTACAATGGTCGATTGTGATGTTATCGTGGCGTTGCTCATTACCACAGCACTATCTTCGCGAGACTGATCTCCAGCCAAGATACCGTTTGATAGCGATCAATAGTTTTATTGTTCTAACACTCGTGCTTTGAATTTACCCCTTTGACACTGACGTCATCCCATTAGTTGCAAGGAGTGTACAACAATTAACTTGGGCAAGCCCGGCTATTGTTTATCTAAAGCTTTCAATAAATGTACCTACTTACATTGTTGAAGCAATGCCTTTAATTGAAACTCGTTGAGAATCAGAAGATACGAATAACGGAGCTGATGAAACAATTTATTTTCTTCTTGCTCTAAATAACTTTTGCAATCTCTTCCTTGCTGCATCTATTTGTTGATACACCTATGAAATAAACGTAATTAATAAAATATGCTGCGTTTCCAAAATCGACCTAGTTTTTTGTACATATTTTGTAGGAATAAAAAAGTGGTTCTCAGTGGATCTGTTATCTTTTTGATGCTAGATAACCTCTAAGTTGAGACAGGGTTAGAATTGAATAGATCCAGCCATCCGATGTCAGCCATCTTTGTAGTAACCACTTATCAATGTTTATCCAGCGCGTGTTTACATTCGCGAGCTGCCTCTGATAACGGTAATGATGTACGAGATTAGCGTCAATTTTAAATTTAATACCACAACGTTAAAGTTTTTATTCTCATTTGTATACTTAATGTGTCATCGATATTCTATGTTTATATATAAAGTTTTGGAAGAATCGAGAATCTTCAGTTTTTTCTAATGACTTGATTGATTGAGCACTCCAAATGCCATTCTATTTTTATATAAACAAAGTAACTTTAAATATTTAATGTGTGCAACGACTGCGAGAATAGCAACATTTTGAGCACATTTGCGTCACTCTGTATTTTTGTATTTAGTAATTTTGTAACATAAATATCTGTTTAAAAGTCCTGCCGGTAGTATTTTGAAACCGAATTACGTAAAAGTATTACTAGAACCAAGTGTTTAGACACTGTTTAGTGCAGCTTGTTATGAATTAAAAGTGTGCATTATGCAGTTGGCCTAGTTGGTCTAGCAGGAGTGCTTGGCAACAGCCACATTGCCACTGTTTGTACATTTCCGGGTCGTGAGCATGTTCTACATTCTTTAAAAATGCAACTCATTTACAAGGTCAGCTAAGAGAATAATCATAACGCATCATAGCTTCGCAGGGCTATTTATCAACTCTCTCAATTAGTCATGTTAAGACTCTCCAAGTTCATTATAATAAATTCGCCAACAGCTAAGCTTACCATAATTCACCTCGGCACATCGTTGTAACGCGATTGTCACGCTAAAGGTCACAATCAGCGTTTCTATAAGCAACCGTTGTCTCTCGGCCAAGATACGACGTCAAATCAATCTTATCAATGTCTCTAAAGCGTAGACCTAGGCGGATATGCTGTGAAAACGGGTCTTAGGTCACCTAACAGCACGTGTCTCATTGACGTCAATCAACACACTTCGCGGACGCTTTCTAACATTATCCCTACTCACACTTAATGTATATTTAACTTGAAAGTCATTTTAATTACCCAAAACTTAGGTACCTTGCACACGTGCTTGTGAAAGATAAATATACTATAGTTACGAAGCCCATCAACATATTTATCATCTCTATCGCTAATGTGTGTGTCCCCTATTGCTATCATAATATTGAGCGCGTACCGATAACCTACATCTCCGCGAGTTGTTTACTCCATAGCACCTAATTGTCCAAATTCGATTACGTCAGCGGTTACTGACTGGCGGCCTACGCGTATTGTCCGCACAAATTTATCGAGTCTCTATTAAGTATCTTATTTATTGCACAATAGATCGCTTGCCCAAATAGACGTTTTGCAACTTGTTTGGTACGTATCTTTTATCCGTAAAAGGATGTTAACAATATTTTGCTGCGACCTCACTGATGTTTCTGTTGGTCAGCCCTTATGGTAAAGCTGCTAACAGTTTTGTTTACTTGTGCTCATGTTTCTAACGTTTGCGTAATTGACGATAACTGCTTCGTACCCTTCTGAGTTAGTACTACAGGCCATCGGTTATTATGTCATTTCTTGTTTGGTAATTTTTGTATGCAGCAATAAATAGCTTTTGAAATCTCGGAAAACGCTATCTATACTGATAAAGTAATGCCCTAAATCTTGTGAGCATGCATCACGTCGCGTTCAGCGAATATTATGCAAAGTTTACATAAGTGCAAGATAACTTTGTTGACTTTAGTCCAGATTTCAGTTGATAATGACTCATATCTTGAAAAGTCGCTTGTTAAAAACTTAGATATTTATGTCGCAGCTGATTTGCGTAAGACGCACACGCGTCTTGTGATTTACGTACTACTGACAGAACTACATACTAGTAGCTCTTTAATATTTTGCAATCATCCTCCCCTCGCTTCAGCAATGTACCGACCTGAATTCTTCGCGAAATGTGATTATGATGCTATTTCATTTGATATATTTATATACCAGTATTTTTTGTATGCTATAAAAACTCCAGTACTGGTAGTTTATGTAAGTGTTCTAAAAACTGACTGCGTAGGCCGGAGTGTCATTCTTTTAGACTGGTTTCCATTTATTTTGTACGTTGAAAAATTAAGCTATTTCTTATATAAAATTTGTCTAGGTTTTTTGTGTATTTAAAATAAATTGTCAATTTTGTTCTTCACTGCTAACATTATCGGACGCGAATACGGATCCGATTAAACGGTCTTAACCTAGTTGAAAGTGAGTTTTATTGTAAGGCTTCACACCTTTACTCCTACATTAATTCTTGACCAATAGGGAGTGTCTGCACGTTTAGTTATGAGTTCTTTGATCCATATTGAGATCGAGGTTTATTTTCTAACACAGAATTTCCACTATCCGTAAAGGCCAAAAGCGTTTTATAAATTGAATCGACTTCCAATGCTGTGAATTTGCATTTAACATTCTGTAAATGGATATGCAACTATCAAATCTTGATATTTATATGATGATGTCACGGATTGTGATGTCATTGAACTCCTTAACGTCACCACTGGTTTTGGACGTTGCAAATGTATAGTGACACCCTTGAGAGCCACATGGAATACAAAATACCATCTGTGTCATAATAATTATGATATTATCAATTTGCTATGAGTAATGTAATAATTTAATGAGACACAAATGTTAATTGTTTTTGTCGCACAAGATTAATCTAATTTATAACAGGTTCGTCCGACATGTCCTTCAGACAACATTGTTATTAGGAGGCGAAGCTTGAAGCTGTTTTGGAATAATGTAACAATGTATCTTTTTAGCGCTTGAATGCATTTGTTAAAACGTAGCTTTTGCTACCAAAGACCGAAAGGAGGTCCTAAAAACTCGACCACTTCCTTCCCAACCGGTTCGATACAGTAAAATCATACGATTCGCAATTAAGAACGCGAGTGACCTCACGGCTATTTGCGAGCGTGTGCTCAATTTTGATAACACTGGACATTGCGTTGACCGCAAAATGTGCACCACCTTATTCTTCAAGAAGTTCAATCGTCTTGTACATTTTTCTATTATGGTTGTGACTTGCTTCGTTTCAGTGCTTCATAAACTGGATCAATGAATCTCTACTTACAGCAAAAACTTGAGATCTTTCCTCAAATAATGTTAGCTATTCTATTGTTAATTTCTCTTCATTATCTTTACTTTGAATGCTCATGTTTGTCTGGTTTCAATTGAGCATCATTTCACTGAGTATTATTTTTTTGACTACAAATTGTATGCCATTTGTATCAGGCTATTGGAATTGCATCACCACTGAATCACATGTCTCGCACACCGCTCCTTGGGTGATGTCATCCATGTCCCACTATTTCCTACATAATACACATGGAAATTACATACTCATTGCGGTTAACCCTAATGTTTGTCTTGAACTGAAAGGAAAATAACTACAATATTTATTGACTCTTTATTATTGTGAACAATAATTGATGATTGGATGTCCATGTTGGTTTACGTAATTTAGTTATTCAGCAACTTTTCATATTATTCATCCCTTTCCTCCCTTTTAGGTCACTAAAGCATCTATGATTATTTTCTACACCTACTTGTAATTGAATATTTAGATAAAAGTAAGCAATTTCAATTAGGCTCACGTTAAAATGGAATAACATGCCTTAAACTATGTTTTTTTCTGATCAATATCACATCCACGTCATATCATGCTTGTTCCTCTCAATAGGTCAGTATGAAGATACATACACCCATATTTCTTAAGAAGCTATTGGAATTTTACCCACTTCAAAGTGGAAAACAGATACGAGTGAGATAAATGCTCATACACCTCAATACCGTGGTAAAAACATTTAATTGCAAGGAGGTCGTGACTTACTTAGGTACGCGGATCAACGAATGCGGTTAAGCAATGATCAACTGACCTATTTGAGCCATGCCAGTTTTTTTAGTAATCATATAAAGTTTATATGTGTGTGCAACTGGTTTTAATGGACGACTGTGCTTACTTTCCTCCTGCTATGATAAACTTGTTGAAACTTTTGAGTCACATTTGTATATTAATTTTCAAGTAACGTTGACGTAAGAACTAATTATAATTATGTTATAATGTTTACCACAAGAATGTAAACATTCGTTTTTGTCTACGTCACCTACAGCCACATCTGATCCAATTTTCCTGAAGGTAAATAAGGATCCACTGTAAACCCGTATTCGATACGCAAAACATAATTTTCCTTATATCAGAATATCAGTGTTTCCTAAATAAGTATGTTTTTTTTTTAAATATGACCCGAATACAAAAACAGAGAAGGACGTCGTACCACCCTTATATGGCAATCTACTTTCAATTTGACCGTATAACTACTTTCTATTTATTTTAATTCAACGTCCAATGCATGCGTTTCTTATGACACTGCGATTAGCATTCAGACGCTGACGTGAAGTCTAGGCTGTCACATGGAAGGCGTGCATAACGCACTTAAACGATTTCATTGCGCATGCGACTCTTAAGAGATTAAAGGGATTATCTCCTTGCAAGTCTTGACTGGAGGACTTACACTGTGCATCAGTTTGTATGTCATGAGAATAAGGTAATAAATGTGAGTTTTTCTCCAATAATCAACATACGAATGAATGGTAGAATACATAAATGACTGAATAATAGTTGTGCTTTGAACTGATTTATTAATAACGTTCAAGAAGTATTTGTTTATGTCTGTTTTTTATGCATTGATTGGAACTTTTTTCATTGATATCGAAGTGTGGCGAATGACAAAGTACCAAGATAAATCGAAGTGTTCCCGTTTGAGTACTAAACACACTTAAATATTGAGCAGCAAATGTATTCCACCTATTGGTAGAATTAACTGTAAAGGTGAATGTATAGATGCTCAAACGAGAATACTCCCAAAGATCATACCATTTTTCGAAAATTTCAATTTGACTATATCATATCGCAATTCGTAGCACAGACAATTTTTCGTAGCGACTACGACACGTAGTGTCTTTTCGTAGCGAATACACTACGACGCGTAGTCTTATTTCGTAGCGATTACGCTACGACGTTTAGTGTTTTTCGTAATAGATGCTATATTCACGTTATCTACGTATTATTCATTTTCACTTACATTACATTCATATTTCGATCTTTTTACTTTTTACACCAAATAAACTATTTATTATTATTATTATTTTATCATTATTATCTTTAAGTCAGTTGTATCCTAAAACTGCTTACCCATAATGGACAGCAACATCCTTTAAAAGTTCGGTGACCCAACTAAAAGTATTAAGGGAAGATTTTAGTTACAAAAGTAGCTTTCATTCAGACGCAATTGTGGTTCAGTTAACATGGATAGAGGATAATGATAACAACATACATAAGAATTATACAAACCCATCCTACTAGATGTATCAAAAGTCTGCAATGGCAAAAAACCTTCGTAGTCATATTTTCTCGAAACCTATATTGGCTTAGTGCCATAATAATCTGGAGAAGACTGGCCTCCATACTTTTATTCGAATTTTACGATTTTAAGGTTTGTGTTTGCATGTATCAATTTTGATCACGAATCTTTTGTTGTTTTTTAAATGTTGTGTTTTCCAAACTAACAATACCTGATTACCTAATTTAAAATGATTTGATATTTCTAAGAAAACTTTTATCCTTATTCTTTTTGTTTGTAAGCCGCATTATTGGCACTTGATTGTATCTAGGTCCCGTTTTGACCACGATTTCTGCTTTATCCTTATTGATCAATTATCCTCAAAAAATAAAAGACAAACTTTTTCCTTTTACCTGCTCCATGTTAGGTAGATATTTTTTTTAATATTTCTGTGGGTAAGTTCCTAATTATTTTACCGAAACTTTTGTGAATTTTAAATTTCATGAGACAGTCATTCAAGATCATCTCATAGACATGCTAAATATGTATCTAGATAAATTATCGCTTCTTCTATGATTCACGAATTCCTAAATTTAGTTTAGACTGCGTCACTCAGTAGTTACACTGATTCAATTTGTTTTATCACAATTCTTCGGAAATCCTTGTTTTAACAAGACGTTATAAGTTCTATATTCTTACAAGTCGTTATCTTTTGATTAGTTTACGTTCTTGAATCATTTTTCGTCCATGACCAATTACTTCTCTTCCTTCTTGTGTTTCTCGAATAAATTTTGGTTTCGGTAGTTAACCTTGACCAGGTTTGGCTGAAAATGGTTATACCCACCACAGGACACCAGTTTCTGATCTATCCATGCAAAAGTTTTTTTTTTTTTGTAATTTGTTACACATTCTTAATGTTACATAAAAATATCAATTGGCTCAGTCATTGTTTCTACATGTAAAACTTAAATGTATATGTTGTATTTTTCGATAAAAAGTCATTCGTAACCTTGCACATGGTATCAATTGGACTATTTCTATAAATAGAAATTGAGACAATACTAATAGTTACTAATTGTCAATTCAAAATGCGTTGGAGTTTATCAACGAAACAATTTGCTGAACGAACGATCGAACAGCCGCGATCAAGGTCCCTTTGTTTGTAAACACAGCACACGTCTATTTATTAACAGAATTAATGAATTAATTAACCACCAAAGGCCATTTATTACTGAATATTTTGTTCCATGGTCAGTTCATTTGTAAACGTTATTCAGGACATTTTTTTAATTTGTAACTTTCAAAATGTCCCATTAATAAAAAATTCGAGGAAAGTGACACAGAGTATTTTTGTAGAATTTCACGAGAACAAGCAAATACATTTCATGTATTGTCGTCAGATTTTAATGTTTGTTGATTTTGATTGACAATCAATTATTTAAACATATCTTCATTCTTATTCATTTTTTTTTCTTGTAACCAAGTACAAAACGTGTTGTGTTCAATCAACATTTCGTTTAGGTGTATTTAATTTATTAAACAAACGTAATGTGTGTACGTGTGAACAGTTATTTTACAGTTAATTACTTTAAATAACACGTACGTTTCTACATTTTACTTAGCCGTTTCGTTGTAATTCATGTTCTAACTCATCAACATTAATTTAAATTATTTTTCAATTTATAAACGTCAAATAATTGACTAGCTCAACTAATGAATGATTATGTTGCTGAAAAATGCTAACATTGATCATCATAAAATTGCGTTTTATGCTCAGTC